CAGCTTGGCAAGTACGAGGACATCGATGAAGATGAACTTCTGGCCTCCCTGACTAATGAGGAAATCCAGGAGCTGGAGAAGGTTATGGCTGAAATTGAACCTGATATGAACATACCCATTGGGCTAAGGCAAGACGACCAGACGGCCAAGCAGCCAACAGGCACTTTTAGCCGAGAGGCTCTGCTGAAGTACTGGGAGGATGAGACTCATAGATTGCTAGAGGTAGGGTCTATATACAGATATTGAGTGATATTCCAAACTTTGATGCACCAGTTGCATTCCATTTGTTTTTTCTTGACACAAATGCTAGAGCTTGCCACTGGGGTGGTACCCTTAAAAGACACCCTTCATGGTTAAGTAAGGTACAAAGGTGTACCTTTGTAGGGTACTGCCCAAGTGACAAGATATTATACCCCTATAAGTATTATTTAAGGTGTTCTGAAAGTGTAGTCATATCCACATAACAAGAGCACAATTATTTGTATGGGGGTCAGGTTAGGCTTTCTTTTTGGTAAACCACAAACCATGGAAATCTCAGGTCTCCACAAGGAGTTTTCTAGCTTGGGGACAAGAAGGTCTGCAGCTTCATTAAGGGATTAAAAATTTATTTAAATTTATAATTAAATCTAAAGTTTCTGCGAGTAGTTCATTTGAGGCAGGCGTTTCCAATACTCACTTGTGGAAGGTCACCACTTTGCGGAATTTAGCTTCAACCTGCTCCAACACCAACTGCTCCAATTGTTGTAATTCCTCAGAGATTCCGAGTCGGAACTCCGACTTGGGAGGGCGTTCCAGTTAAAAATTCCTACTGGGAACTTGGAACTTCCAACCTCCGAGTACAAATGGAACGCAGCATAAGAACTGGATGTACTTGATTTCAGGGTACAATTAAGGGAGGACTGTCAAACACAGCTTCTGGAGGGCCACTGTCTTGAAGATTTTTACCCCTGAGTTATGGATAGCTTTGGTTAGCTTAGCTTAGAAACACTGAAAGTCAACAAGAAGTTCCTAATTTTATATAAAACTACACTATTAAATAAAAATTCAATTTCTTCAAAGAGAGTTCCGAAGACTGCAACATTGCTTCCACAGAACATAGTTATTGCTCAGCTGGTGTCTAAGTTGGTGATATCTTTCTTAATTAAGCATCATTGCTTGAGGTATGCCAGAGCTCAACCTTGTTTTCCTTTCTATGGTGACACACAGGACAGCATGGATGAGTGCCAGACAGATAAGAGTGAAGAGGAATGTGGCAGTGAAGAGCCTGAGGATAATGAAGAGGAGGGAGAGCAACAAAACTGGGGGCTCAGAACAGGGGGTGATGGGGAGAAAGAAGCTAGGTCAAGCAAGTGGAATTTTGTGGACTTGTCCCGATTAGATTGCAAGAGGAATGGCAACATCGGTCAAAAACCTAAAGGCATCCATAAAAGTGCCCTTCATCATCATGTTACAGAGAGGCCAAGTGGTAATCCCACTGATATTGTAAAGACCTTGGAAAACATCTTGAGTAACGACACCTCCTTGAGCGAAGTCAACCTAAACAACATTGAGAACATATCCCAAGAGGTTTTGGTGAGCTTTGCTGAAGCATTAATTACCAACACTCATGTTGAGGTTTTTAGCCTTGCCAACACCCATGCGGATGATCAAGTAGCTTTTGCCTTGGCCAAAATGCTGAAGAAGAACTGCAGCATCACCAACCTTAATGTTGAGTCCAACTTAATTTCAGGCAAAGGTATTCTGGCTTTGATTGGGTCACTTCAGTACAACACAACACTAGTGGAGCTCCGATTCCACAACCAGCGGCACATCTGTGGAGGCCAAGTAGAGATGGAAATGGTGAAATTGCTAAGGAACAACACCACCCTGTTAAAACTGGGATACCACTTTGACTTACCTGGCCCAAGGATGAGCGCAACCGGTATTTTAACCCGCAACCAGGACCGCCAGAGGCAAATGCGGCTGCAACAAAGAAGTGAGGCGCAATCAAAGACATGTGACACTGTGGACAATACGCAGACCCTTCAGTTCCAGATTTCAACAGATAAAGATGCTACACAAGGGAAGCAGCCCTCTGTCTCTTCTCATTCACCAAAACAACCTCACAGTCAACCAAAAGTTGTGAACAATGTTCCAACTAGAAAAATCGCTGAAATGGTCAAGCAACAAGAAACAGCAATAGAAAGTTTTGAGACTAATGCAAATAAAGGACACAAACTCACAGGGGACAAACATACCAAGAACATGTTTCAAAATGAAAAACCAGTACCTTTGAGAAGAGAAGATGAAAGAAAGAGTCTGGGAGGAACCCAGGGGTCAACGCGTGATGATCTACTGGCAGCTATTCGTAGAAGCAGCATTGGTACACTACGAAGGGTAAGACCTTTAGAATTTGTCCAAGACAAAGTAGGTAAGCCTTAAAAACACAGTGCCCAAATTTGTAATTCACTCAAACAATATTACTGGCCAGTAGGGATGTAACTATTCACTCAACTCACAATTTGATTCACGATTTTGATTTCACGATTCGATTTATTCTTTATAAAATGAGATTTAAGACAAATTATAAATTAAATGTGTCCTTTTATTATTGCTTGGACAAAATACTGTACGTTTCTTTGTGAAATTGAAATAATACTATAATAATACACTATAATAATATACTAATATAGCACTTGTAAATTATTGCTCTTTTGATTGCTTCTATTGTCCTCATTTGTAAGTCACTTTGGATAAAAGCATTTGCTAAATAACAAAATTTAAATTTAATGTAAATGTAAATAACAAAACTAAATTTTAAAACAAGCCCCAAATCAAATAAACAAGTAACACATATAAAATAAATCTCTTCATATAAACAAACTAAGGCTTTGTCTGTGCTCTTTCCGTTTAAAATTAGAGGCATTCACTGCATTTTAATCATGATCCAAACAAAGATGCTGCATACATGCAACATGAGCAGTTTTTAATCTAAATTACATTATAATTTCGAAATTTGAAGCAAAAACAGAATGATTTGACTTCAGTTTTGTGAAACTATGCATAAAAATATCTGCATGAAACAGAAACAGCAGACGAGCTGAATGAGATGCAGATTCACTCTCTGACAGCAGGTGGCGCTTAAAGCGTTTCCGCAGAAAACAAAGCAGCGCTGCACTTATGAACTTTAATATGCTTTATACAGAGGCAAGAGGAAACGAAAAAATACAATCGAAAGACAGTAAGTTCCCCCTCAGACATGCATTCATATAAACTTCTACCCCTAAATGAATCGCGATTTGTTTAGCATCTCAACCAATTTGAATCGTCACATATTTGAATCGATTTTCAACCGGTTCGCGGTTAATCGTTACATCTGAACTAAGGTGTTTGGTAAACACCAACCCTGCCAAATCAGGTCTCCTGGGAATCGATTGTAAGACTTCAAGCAATAATTACCTTTTTATACCAAGAACTGAATTATTCACTCAGTGGTTGTTTTGATTAAGATCACTTAAGTTACCACGAAATCATTATCTAGTGGAAAATGCATAAATTCTAGCTCAAATTTAATAGATGGAAAGTGTAGTTTTGCCGCACTAACAATGACGTCGCCAAGTTGCACTTGCCATTAAGAGTAAAAACATGCTTTTATTTGAGGGCTTCAAAAAGCATTCATAATTTCAAGTTCTCAATAAAAGTAAATACAAATTTTAAAGGGATAGACTATGCTAAATATTTTTTTTACTCATGCCATTTCATACCTGACATACACACATACAGGTGCATCTCAATAAATTAGAATGTCGTGGAAAAGTTAATTTATTTCAGTAATTCAACTCAAATTGTGAAACTCGTGTATTAAATAAATTCAATGCACACAGACTGAAGTAGTTTAAGTCTTTGGTTCTTTTAATTGTGATGATTTTGGCTCACATTTAACAAAAACCCACCAATTCACTATCTCAACAAATTAGAATACTTCATAAGACCAATAAAAAAAAACATTTTTAGTGAATCGTTGGCATTCTGGAAAGTATGTTCATTTACTGTACATGTACTCAATACTTGGTAGGGACTCCTTTTGCTTCAATTACTGCCTCAATCGGCGTGGCATGGAGGTGATCAGTTTGTGGCACTGCTGAGGTGGTACGGAAGCCCAGGTTTCTTTGACAGTGGCCTTCAGCTCATCTGCATTATTTGGTCTCTGGTTTCTCATTTTCGTCTTGACAATACCCCATAGATTCTCTATGGAGTTCAGGTCTGGTGAGTTTGCTGGCCAGTCAAGCACACCAACACCAGGGTAATTTAACCAACTTTTGGTGCTTTTGGCAGTGTGAAGGAAGCATGAAGTGCTCCAAAATTTCTTGGTAAACGGGTGCAGTGACGTTGGTTTTCAAAAAACACAATGAACCAACACCAGCAGATGACATTGCGTGGGTGAGCAATCCTGTTTTGATCTTGAGAAATTAGTATCCATTACTTAATGCTTCTGCCATGTATAATACATACAATATATGTGGCAGTTTTAACATTAGATTGACTAGCGTTTTCTTCTTTTTCTTGCAGGTCACCAATAATCATCGTTCCTGATGTATAAAACGGCTCATATAAAATGAAACCGTAAAACAAATAACAGAAATTAAAACTTGTGTTTTCTTATCTGGCATTAAATCGGAAATACATTATTTATACACATATTCAAACACAAGTGATTTTCCACCAACAAAATATTTTGCTCAATGAGTAGTTTCAACAACTGCTTTGTAACTTGCATAATATGAGAAAGTTCAAATCCAAGAAGAAAATAGCTGATTTACTTTTAAAGCTGATTGCCATAATTCAGATTCCAAAGTATCTGTCATGCAACTAGTTGAGTTTGATCCTGTAATTTTAGCCAATCAAATCAAAGATGCACAGGTATGCAAGCAGTATTTACACAAGTTGGTAAAGCTACAAGTTAAAATATACATGCATTGCAAAAATGTAGGTTACTAAAAAGAAAAGCACCATATCTCAGGTTTGTAAATAATACCATTTATTTAAGTATAGAATTTAGTGTTTTCATTCCACATTCTCTTGTAAGATTTGATGTCAATTATACAATTTTTTCAGCACTATCCTTACAATACAAGGACAGCAAATTCAGTTCAGACAGACAATACTGTTAAACCAGCATTAACTGTACACAAAGGTTTGTTGTTGTTTTTTCTCCATTGCCTTAAATGTAGTTGTCAGTCAAGCATTGACCTGTAAAAGTGTTTAACAAATTGAAGTTAATATATATATATTTTTTTGTGAAGTGCTTTTTTCTGTTTTTTTTTCTTCTTTTTTTCTTGATATGACTGAAATTCTATATTTGTGAATTGATGGTTTTTCACATTCAGGAGCAAGCTGTACTCACGGATTTGCCAGTTTGAATTTACTGTATATTATTTTGTTGTTAATAAAGTGAAATCAAAAACTCAGAAATGTCTACTCTGTGACGTGCAATGTAGTGTGACGCTGATCGTGATTACCACAGAAATCATATTTAACGTGTTCAGCCAATGTGTTCTCATCCTGTAGTGAATTTCTTTGTTATTCGTGCAAAAATATATATAGCCTCAATATATCAGCCTGGTGTACATTTACAAGGGAAACAATACAGGGGACATACATATTCTGATAGGAGAACCTCTTACCAAATCTAAGAATGCTAAACTAGGATTTGAATAAGAAAATTGAAGGTACAGAAAAGTAGGGTATGAAAATAGTGTTATCTAAATCATTAATCAACATTTAATAAGGACATCGAGTGTCCCGTCCATCTCCCTTTCCCCACTCACAGGGGAACAAAAACATTCAGGTCAACAAATCATGAATCCTGGCATAAAACTTCACATGGTTATTCCAGGAGATTATTTTACAGAGGATAAATGACAATACTTTACAGATTACATGAGGTATTGCACAGATTATAAAAAAAAAACAAAAAGCAAAAAGGCAACAAAAATATACAGCGATTTGAAAAAAAAAACAAAGCAGAATGAGCGTCAAATTTGGGGAAGTGAGAATTTAGTATCATTTACTCTACTGGGTGGGCTTAGTGTTGCGGGATTAATCATCCCATTCATCATCATCCTCAAAGTCTTCATCATCCTCATCATCCTCATCTTCATCTGAAGACCAAAGAAAATGCATAACCTCCGTAAATATCTCATAATTTACTGACAATACCATTAATAAACAAACTCAAATGAACCAAAGGATATTTGAGTATGAAAAATGCCCTTAACACATTAGCGTTTATCTACGTCAGAAAACACATTGATTTAAATGGGGCTCTTGTGACTAAAGAACGAAGAGGAAAAAGTCATAATCTGTCATATCACGAAAATAATATTTTAAATTGGGCTTATGTTATGTCATCTTAAACACGTAACAGAGCATTTTTTAGTATGTAAACTCGGTTTAACTGGATCAACAGCCGTCAAAGTGAGGGGAGAAAAACAAACAAACTAATTTGCAGTTGTTGAGTGGCCTGTTTTGAACAAACTTTTGAGAGACTGAAACAAGCACTTACCTGAGGAGTGGATGGCTTTGCTCCTCTTTTGCATCACCTCCATCAGAGCTCCAACAATGCCTGCTGACTGAGCAGGGGTGGGTGGTCCTGAGTCATTATCTGATACCTGAACATTCAAGAAGAAAGCTATCAGACAATCATACAAAAATAATGGTTCCTAGAACATGCTACAATGTTAAGAAAGTATTTGGGGACTCGCACTACTGCTCCAAAGTTTTTAAAAAATAATAATTTAATTCAGCAAGGATGCATTAAATTGATCAAAAGCAACAGTAATTTATATTTTTTATAAACATTTATATAATCAAAAAAGATGTCCATTTCAAATAAATGCTGTTCTTTTTAACTTTCTATTAAGCAAAGAATCCTAAAAAAAAAAAGTGTCACGGTTTCCCCCAAAATATTAAGCAGCACAACTGTTTTTAACATTGATAAAAGTAAGACACGTTTCATGTGACGGCTGCAGTAAATTCAGCTTTGCATCGCAGAAATAAATTACATTTTAAAATATATTCAAATAGAAAGCAGTTTTTTTTAAACTGTAGTAATATTTTTCAGTATTACTGTCTTTTACTGTACTTTTGATCAAATAAATCCATCCTTGGTGAGTATAAGGTGTCCCTTGTGATATATAATATATATATATATATATACACACACATATATACATAGACCCTGGACCACAAAACCAGTCATAAGTAGCACAGGTATATTTTCTTTTATGCCAAAAAACATTAGGATATTAAGTAAAGATCATGTTTCATGAAGATATTTTGTAAATTTTCTACCATAATTATATCAAAACTTAATTTTTGATTAGTAATATACATTGCTAAGAACTTCATTTGGACAGCTTTAAAGGCGATTTTCTCAATATTTCGATTTTTTTGCACCCTCAGATTCCAGATTTTCAAACAGTTGTACCTCGGCCAAATATTGTCCTATCCTAACAAACCATACATCAATGTAAAGCTCATTTATTCAGCTTTCAGATGACCTATACATCTCAATTTCAAAAAAATTGACCCTTATGACTCGTTTTGTGGTCCAGGGTCACATATATAATAATCCAAATATAATACAATACCTTTTTTAATAATAAAATCTATTTTATTATATATATAAAAAAAAGTATTACAGTATGTTTTTGCATAAGATGTTCCTTGTGACCACCACATTTATGTTTCACATAAACACACATCTATATATATATATATATATACACACATATACATATACACATCTAAAATAAAATAAAATTATAAACCTAAAAATAAAATAATAAAACTGTATAAAAAAACGTATATAGTGACAACGTCTGATCTGCCACATGCACATGTAACTTGCAGTTTAAAACCTTATTTTTAACACAATGGATGATTGACAGGTGAGCAGGTGGTCCTCCACCTTTGTCTAGGACACATCAGGATGTGTTAGCGTTGGCAGTCCTCACCGTTTTGAGTACATCAATGTAAAGCTCATTTATTCAGCTTTCAGATGACCTATACATCTCAATTTCAAAAAAATTGACCCTTATGACTCGTTTTGTGGTCCAGGGTCACATATATAATAATCCAAATATAATACAATACCTTTTTTAATAATAAAATCTATTTTATTTTATTATATATATAAAAAAAAGTACGGTGTACAATCCTTGAATTAAATTGCTATAGTGCTTGAATTCAGTGAAGATGTCAGGAGAAACACTTTGCGCAACGATATAGTCAGAAAACTTTTCAATCTACAAATCAATAAGAAAAAGTATTACAGTATGTTTTTGCATAAGATGTTCCTTGTGACCACCACATTTATGTTTCACATAAACACACATCTATATATATATATATATATACACACATATACATATACACATCTAAAATAAAATAAAATTATAAACCTAAAAATAAAATAATAAAACTGTATAAAAAAACGTATATAGTGACAACGTCTGATCTGCCACATGCACATGTAACTGGCAGTTTAAAACCTTATTTTTAACACAATGGATGATTGACAGGTGAGCAGGTGGTCCTCCACCTTTGTCTGGGACACATCAGGATGTGTTAGCGTTGGCAGTCCTCACCGTTTTGAGCTGGATGCCCTGTCGGATCTGGTCGAGTAGCGCGTCCCGTCCTGTGGACGACGCTGGCCTCTTGTTTTGCTCCACTTTCTTTAACGGAGCGCCCTCTCTGATTTGCTCCAGCAGAGCTGACTTCCCGCCCATGGGCGAGGGCGTTGATTCACTGTGGCCTCCGTCCATATCAGGGGGTGGAGGAGGTCCAGGAGGAGGTGGTGGTGGAGGAGGAGGTGGAGGCGGGGCGGCTCCTCCGGACGGAGGTGG